AAATAATGGGAGTATTTTTATTTCAAAAAGATAATTTATGTATTAAAACTATTGCATATTATAACTTGATGTACAAATTAACCTTTGGTGTGATTTGTAAGAATATAAAATATCAAGAATCAATAACAATTAAGTTTACTATGTATCTGATGTAAAACAAAAATTATACAAATAAAAGTTTAAACTAATTCTAAAATAAAATTTTAAGTATAAAGTTGACTTCTAAAATATTTGTATTTTATTCAACTAAATCATTTGTATAAACTTTTTGTTATAAAAACATTTTTGAATAACAAATNTTCAACTAAATCATTTGTATAAACTTTTTGTTATAAAAACATTTTTGAATAACAAATCATACTTAATCTAGTTATGTATAATTATATTGATATTTTTATTAATTAACTCAATAATAATTGAATTATGAAACAAACAATTAAATAAAATGGCGCCAAAATAAACATTTTTTTTCATATTAATATAATAGGAAAATAATAAAGTTTTTTATATTTTTTAGTACTTTATTATTACGGATATGTAATGATAAAGATACACTCTCAATGTTGATAAAAAATTTTATCTTATCTTCAAAATAATTCATTAAAAATACAAAAAAATTTTTAGTTACTTAAAGTTTACAGATTGTTATTGAAATCATGAGAAATTTTCCAAAGAAATACTCGTAAATAATATAAAATAAAACTGAGAAAAGGTAACAAAATATAATATATAAATACGACTTTCTATTTACATAGCATTAAATTAAAATAAATAATAAGAAAACAATTAAAACAGAAATCCACAAGAATATATAACTGAAAGGTAACAAAAAATAGTAGATACTTATAAATAGTTCAAACAATAAAAAAAATTGTATTTTTAATTATTGTACCTTAACACACAATAATTGTACAACAATTAATAATTAAAAATTTCAAAAATTATTTATTATATGTATACACAACATAAAATACAACCTATAATAGTAAAATTTATTAAAAAGATTTATTTTTACAATGCCACAGTGTTAATATGTCATAAATAATAAATAATTTAAAAATATAACGCAAATAGTATACAAATTAATGAATTGGTCATCACATATTTACAAATTAAAATTAATTTACTAGATTGCACATATTTTACAAAGTTGGAACTTGACATAAAATAACATATTCTATAAGCAATCACTTTTTTTTTTGTTTCAATACCCTTTTAAAAATTTTATTTTAACAAGAACCCTGAAACTTTTCCGACTATTACCGTGTGTTCTTCTATTTATTTATAATTTAATTTTACTTAATTTTCTGTTTGCAAACTCATTATAAATCTAAATTTTTGATAATGTAATGCATAATTTAATTTAATAAATCATATAAAGTTATACTATCGTATTTTATCTAATGTAATTGTAGGAGAATCATGGTCAGAAAATCCAATTCTTGCTAATTCTTTTAACACTGGCAGTGGTCTTTTAGGCCAAGTTTTTTTTAATTTTAGGTCATGGGCCTCTTTTTGTATTTTTTCAAGTTCTTTTACCATAGGATAAATTTTTTGTTCGATCCACTCAGATATCGTGAATTTGTCAAAAATACCTGTTAGTGATTCTTGGATAGGTTTCACTAATGACAATAAAGGTCTATANTACCTGTTAGTGATTCTTGGATAGGTTTCACTAATGACAATAAAGGTCTATAAATGTGAGCGTATTCCTCCATGAGCTCGTCAACACGTATTGGTGTGGAAAATTCACGCTCTACATTATAATTAGTCATCCATCCTCGCTTTTTTTTTGTCACATCGATAAATTTATTGTATTCTCCCTCAATTAAGTGAAGTCTATATGTTAACCTAGTCAAATAATTAATAAATATATATATTATTAAAATCATAAGTTTTAATTTTAATTATATTAGTTACCTAAAGAACTGATACCCAGGGAAAGAACATCTAGAAAATTGTTCCCAGAGGTAAGGATCTATTTTTAAACTTAAAAAATCTTCATCATATTCATTTGAGCTGCCAAATATACCACAACTTAAACCATCATTCAATTTCGCTTGTAGAGATTGATTCATATAACCATGAGATACTGCCATTAAATTTACAATCATAGATGGTATTGATGCTGGAAGAGTTTCACATAATACAGCAAAATGGTCGTATCTAAATTGTTTAAATAAAATAATCATTTTTAAATTGTTAATAGTTTATGGCTCATTTTTTCATACCTCTGCCATCCAGTTATTACAATTCCTTTAAATCCTCCAGTGAATCGACTTTCTTCATTACTCATTAACTGTAACCAATTTAAATTATTTTCCAAATGTCGCTTGACATTAGGAACATATAGCGTTTCTCCGAATGCTCCTTTAAATGCGCTAGATGTCCATGCATGAGGAAATACAGCCTGATATTTTTCCCAAACGGTTTGCATTACAAATCTATACACATCTTCCGCGTAAACCCATATCTGAAAAAATAAAAATTAATTTAATTTACAATTAAAAAAAAACATATATTTATTATAAAAAGCTTTACCATTGGTTCAACTAGTTTTCCAATGTTATACATTTGCATTGAATTTACTGATAAATGTCTTAACATATCATCCCAAATGATTGGTATAGTACTCGGATATCTTGTACGTACATAGGTTGCTACTTTAACAACATGTGAAAGAAATAAATCTTCTTTAGCTATTGATTTACACCTAAAACATTCACCTATTTGGAACACTTCATCGCAACCAATATGCAAGTATTTTATATTCCCGTGTAACTCCATAACCTAAAAATTGTTGATAAGTTTAATAAATAAATTAATTATTTAAGTTGTTTCATAAATACTTGATCTATAATTTGTTCTACAAATTTTATTGATGCATTGTATGATGGACATAACGCTTGAGGAGATTCTGGAACCTCTCGTAAGTGGGTAAAATCTGGTGTTTTTAAAGCAAATTCCACATGACCAAAAGTTTGAATTAATGGTATCACGTCCAAATTATTTAATTTAGCCAACCTTAAAATTTCCTTAACTTCTGCTCTAGTATATGCATTTCCAGCAGCTATTTCGGATAATTCCCCACTCCAAGGAAACATATCTTCCCATTCAATTAAAAGGCCAGTACCCCCCATTTTTTTTATTAACGGGAATAATTTTTGTAAATATAATATCTTTGGAGGTGCACCTTTTAGATCCAAATGAATAAGTCTATGTGATGGAACATAAGGTTGGAATTGTTGAGAAACAACGTTAATTTGAGGCTGTTGTATTCTAATTTGTGCTGGCTGTTCTTCAACAAATTGAACGTCATCATTTATTTTTCTAACAACACTTGAAACTGCAGCTGCTCGAGGAAGTTCTGCTTGTTCAAAATTTGACATAAGTAAACCATTTGAGTTTTCAGTTCCATCGGAAGTATTGTGTTGAAGACAAAGCACAAATAGCAATATACAACCTATTAATCCAAGCATAATGAATCTACGTCTTTTTAAAGGATTCGCTAACCAACTGGCATAAGAAGTCAATAAATTTTTTAACGCAAATCTAAAACAATAAAAAATTGACATTTTTAATAAACAAACTTATAAACACAACAAAATAAAATCTATTATTAATAAATTTAACTTTTTTCCAATTCTATATTATTCAATTTATTAAAACATAGCATTTTAAAAATGTAAAAAAAAATATTTTTAAAATGCAATTATTTACGGTAGAACAATTTTGTTACATTTTTTTTTTATTTTTAAAGCTTAGGTGTTTTTTCTAATTTTTGACGATAATAAGTAGAAATAGATTAAAATCAGGTTGTTTTATTTATTCATTATAAAGAACTACTAAATATATTTGAGTTAATGCAATTAGACAATATAGCTGTATGAAATACTTCCACAATAACACACAGTATTTTTTAATTTTACAATTTACTTACAATATTTATATCTACAATTGCTATCATAATATTAGAAAAAATCTTTCAAAATCAGATGACTAGATAACTACATAAATACTTTTACTATGGTAAAAATAATAATAATTTGAGTTATGCAATCATATATAAATTGAATAATTTGTACACTTTTAACATCGTATACAAATATTAGTTACGCTTGTTATGGTTCACATTAACCGTTCAAGTTGACTGAATAAATGCTTATTTTGTGTTTATGACTCGAAATTTTAGTAGAGTAACCGTTAGTTAACCGGGATAAATTATTAAAACAGTTAATATGAATATAAAGGTATAAACATTAAATAAAAACAAGTCTCATATAAATACCATAAGTATTTTGAACAATATTTCGTTAGTTAATCTTTCATTCAATCATTCATTTTAATTCCGCAGATTGTTAATTTTTACCAATATGCATGGAATAATTAAACAATAGTAAAATACCATTATTTATTAACCTAATAAAGTAAAAATTTGATATTCTATAGATTATAACTATCATATTGATGTAAAAAAATTGTATAATTTGAAATTTAATAGAAATATTTCGTTAATTCTAAGTTAAAAAAAATATTATACTGGTTAAAATGTAAATATTTCTAACAACATGGTAAATTTAAATTTCAGTCTATAAAAAAGTTTTGTATAATTTTTATTTTTTGCTTTCAATGCTAATTTTTTAGAAAAACTCAAAAACTTAAATTTTTTATAATACATATTACTATATATTTATTAGAAACTTTTTAGTTTTGAACATATAATAGTAATCCATGCACATCAGTATTCCGGTAACACTCGAGATTACTCAAAAATTGCTCATCTTGTATATTTTACTAATAGCACGTGTAAGTGTAGTTTATAAGAATAATAACTTCTGGTAATTATTCATACACGATTTAATCTAAAAAAATAGTTTTTTAACAATTATACTTTTTAGTTATTAAAATAATAAGTCATAGCAATAACATATGTCATAAAATTATTAAATAACATATGAATGTTTTTTTTTCTTAAGCGAGTTAGACAACGCGTAAAACTTTTATAGCATTCATGGTTATTTTAATACAATTAATTGACAAAGATCCCGACACAAATTAATTACTAAAATTCGATTTGTTATCATTATAACAACGTTCGAAAGTAAGTACGCTCATCGGGGTGAATTAGGGTACTCTACTTTGAGGTGAAATGGGGACGTTCTCGTTTTACCCCTTACTATAAATTTAATAGTAAATGATAGACACGCCTTTGAGTTTATATTACTTTATATTTTAACTGTTATTGCTTATAATATTATTTGTATTATTTANCGCCTTTGAGTTTATATTACTTTATATTTTAACTGTTATTGCTTATAATATTATTTGTGTTATTTATCTTGTCAATATTTTAGTTATTAAAATATCAGTTATTGTTATTTTTCTAAAAAATTCAATTTTTTTATTTGAGATGATTAATTTTGTTTATAAGCAAAATTTTCAAGTCTACATGAATAGATTGCTCTTTTATAAAATTGAAAATATATTAAAAAATTTTAATTTATTTATTTAAATAAAAATGATAGATTATTTAAATTTAAGTCATATTATGATAATAAATCTTGTTAATTTTTTACCAGATAATCATATTATATTTTATTTACTTAAGCTAGTATTTTTATTGTTTCAATTTAGGGACAGATTAGATATAAATCAATAAAGAAAAATTTTAGACATACAGTGTCATAAAATTGAAATTATTGTTTCACAATTTAAGCATGTTTATCATTTGCATATATTTTTAATTTTCTTTATTAGAAACTTTGTCTTATACAGTTTTTTCAACAAAATGTATGTAGGTATTAAAAATATCTATTTATTAAATTCATGCTACAGTATTATTTGTAATACAATACCATTTTATAATGCACTTTAGGATAACTGTAAAACATAATTTAACCATCGTGATGATTTTCACTTGACTGCTCACATTTTTTTGGATTATTAAGTGAAAAGTTAAACTGTTATACTATATATGAAATATAATTTGAAAATTACATAATAAGCAACAAAATAATTTGCATACCAATTTTTTTGTATATTACACACATGAAAATGTCAAGTAGTTATATTTAATTATTTAACGCATAAATATATCTTGAATGGATACAGTTTAATTTCTCTATTAATTATCACACTTAATTAAAATGCAGTTTGTCTTCTATATCGAAACAACCTCCGAAATTAAACAAAAAATATTATTTTGGTATAAAAAATCACCATACTTCGGTTAGTTTTAATTTTTTTTCCAATTAATTTGTCTATATATTACGTCAAATGATAGAATCATCCTATAGGATGATTAAGCTATTTAACCACCTTGAAAATGATATAATTATGAAAATGACTGATCAAAAACAATGTTTGAAATAGCACTTCAGAAATTAGTAACAAACATAGAGAGGAGGAAGAGCGTGACAGAGTAATGCGTAATGATTAAAATAAGATAACCCACCATTCTATATTTTAAAATATCTATAACTTCCGAAATAATTAGTCAAATATTGTCATCGACTTGTAATTTTTTACAATGTTATAGCTATGTTGCTATTAAAAAGAATAAAGTTGACACCCGTATAAGGTATATAGGATAAATAAAAAAAAATTATTATAATTAATAAATCAAGAAATATATGACATTATTATTTAAAGAGAAATCCAGTTGATAAAAATAGCTATCGAGCGGCTATTAAAAAAATCACTCTATATTACGATATTTTAATTTAGTAGCTAAATTTTTTCCCAATGAGAAAGTAAAGAGTCAGATGTTTATACGAAATGAAAAAGAAATACTTAAAGTATTTATTAAAAGATAATATATTTAGCAAATATAGGACGCAGTATTTCTGGAACATCTAAATTAATATTTTACAATTAAGATGAAAAACTTATACTTTATATATATATATATATATATATATATATATATGTACATAATTTATATGTATAAAGTATTTATAAAAAACCTGTATTGATTCCATATATTTTCAAAAAGTTATAGTAATTTATATTTGAAATTTAAAATCTAGAATTTTAACACAAAAATTACATGTTTTTTTAATTTTACAGCAATTTGCACATAGAAGAAAAGTCGTTGGGACAATTTTTTTTTAATTATAGTACGTAATATAAATTTAAGTTTAACATGTGCTTAAAGAATGTAGCATTTATAGAAAATTTTCAAAACTTTACTTGAAAACTTTACTTTTTTGTGCAAAAGTTGTTATTTTAAATCTTCTTCTTGTGAGCAGGCTAAAGGTCAGATTTTCAAAAAAAACTTATCAAATAAAAGGAAATCGTCTAAGGTGTTTGTACAAAAAAAAATTATTTTAATTCGTTTATTATTCAAAAAGTTATGACAATTAGAAAAAAATCTTTAAAAATATTGAAATTTATATTTTAAAATTTATAATTTTTTAGAAAATTTTCCTTCATTTATAAAAAAACAAGCTATTTTTTTTAAATTTTGAGAGAAATGCGTTTTTGAAAGAAATTTGTTCGGAAAGAGTTGAGAAATAGTAGTGGTAGTCACAAAAAAAATATTTATATATAAACATATCATGGTAAATGAATACCTTCTGAGATCTGCATCAAAGCTAAATAATTTGAGAATAAATTCTTGAGTTAAAAGTGATTATCAAAAGAAAAGATGTAAGTTTTCAGGAAAAATGTTGAAATTGTATTTTTATCTTGTGATATTTACTATTTATTATAACATTTTTTCAATCTTTAAGAGCAATCTATTCAACTAGATACGATTTGTGATCTTCTGACGTATCTTTAAAAGGAATAGATTTGCTGTGAGCTGAGGATAAGTGTCATCAAAAACACATCACAGGAAAATTAATGCCTTTTTAGCATGAAGCTAAATAATTGCATTAATTGTGTAGAAATACTAGATTAAATAAAAATTCTAAAAATAAGTTCAATGACAGTCCTAAGTACTCTGTATAAACAAGAAACTATTAAAGTAATTTTGGTACCTATTTTTACTATTCCTGTATAATATTTTGACTACGCCCGTCAATTTAAATACGCGTTGGGCATGTCTACATTGCTATTAGGACAGGCACATTATAGTAACTTGACATGGAACACAATCATTATAATAATTAAAGTGTCCAAGCATCGACCTTGTAGCCATGCACAGTATTGCTCTTGTAATTTATTTTGAGTAAAACAAAAACCTACGACCATATCACAAAATATACTGTAGCTGTGGCAAATGAAATGTGTATACCATTCAGTATTTTTTTTAAAGTAAATAATACATTAAAATGTGGGACTGTTTAAAAATAGAGCTATATTAAAACTGTCCCCACTGATCCTTATGAACTATCCTTGCTGTATCTAAATAGCTTGAATATTAAAAAATAACACAATTGATCAAATTACTGATCGGTAACATTGTCTGATTTTAATATATAAACTAATAAGTTAAATATATACAGGTATGTCATCGTTTCAATTTTGTTTAAGAGAAATTATATAGTTCTTAAAAATAAAATCATCTTTCTATTATTTTTTATAACAAAAATAATTTTTTTAAAAAA